TGCTGAACCCTCTGGTCCCAACCCAGCAAAGCGTGCAAAGGGCCCCACCGAGACCAGAGGCATCTCCAGAGGCATCCTCTCCTCGAGCAGGGCAGGATATCGGCCCTTTGCAGAATCGCGCCCCGCTTGCCCAAGCATTTTCTCCTACGGCCATCGCAGCCAGTACCTTGCCCAGAGACCAGCTCCAACCCAGTGCCCAATTGATCTGCCGCTCTTGAGGCCGTTTCAAAACCCCATCCCTTCCCTGCAGCACTTCTGTCTGCCCTCAGACCAAGATTTATGAGGGTTATCCATGGATGTGGTTGCAAGAAAAGTCCAAAAGCTTTTGTTGCAATGCCACAAGCAGCACTAAAACAGCAAAATGCTCTTTGCATACCTGATCCTCGCTGAAGGGTAATGAGCAGGACACCCAAACACAGACAGCAAGCTCTGAAGCAGGACCTGAGGAGGCAGCGTGGATGCATGCCAACCTGACAATGGGATTTCATTTAACAAGCGCAGATTTAAGTGTGGAAATCAAATATGAAACAGTTGTAGCCAGCATTGTCTGCATTCTTGGAGTGGCACTAAACTAGCAGAAAGAAAAGAACTGAGACACTGGCCCAGACATGCTCCAGCTGTCTGCGACTACCTCTTCCCTCCTCCACTGGATGTAACTATTCAGCTTGTTTTCATTTCATTATTGGATGTTATTTTTGCAACCTGGGAAAAGAATAGAAAAGGGGGGGAAAAAAGTCCTTCAATGCTTTTGGGTTTATTTTTAAGAACTAGACCATTTCTTTCCTTTCTGTCAGAGATAAAGTACACTTTAAAAAGTGCACAAGGCCTATGGTATTATTAGTTAAGCATTTGTTTCTCAAATACGGTCCTTTATCTCAGAGGCAGCAGCATTTGCGTTACTGTGGTTATTCACGTAAGTCATACTCATTTAGTACTGAGCAACATGCAATTAAATAGCCATATAAAACACCCACAGGCTGAGCAACAGCTGCCTACAGGTAACCTTAAATTTCATGCGCTCACTTGCCAAATGTTTCAGCTCTAGCCATATAAATCTTCATTTGCATGTGGGAGCAGGGCAGGCCCTTTCCTCCAGCACCGTGGGCAGGTAAACAGGAGGCACTCCTTCGCCAGGCGCAGCACAAATCAGGCTTTTAATGAGTTGGTTAAAAGCCTGGTGCTGCAGATGGCGATTAATGGGAGTGCATCTCGACCCACCACAGGGTCAGCCCTTCCCTGGCTTCCCTTCCCTCCTCTGCCTTCCTCTCAAGAGCACAGCTTATCCATTTTTAATGTTAAAAAGAATTTGCGTCCAAGATCTGATAATAATTTATTTTCCCTCTCTTTACGCCAATTTTGCTCGACAGGGAAATGCCAGCATGCACCGCCCGTCCCCCCCAGCTGGGGACACTCCACCCTATGAAAAAGTCAACCACTTGCCAAACGAAGGGCCAGGATTATATAGTTTCCCACTGAGCGTAGTGGGAATTCTCAGTTTGTGCTGGATTTCCCTGGAAAAATCTTCCCTCCATTTTGATGCTGATGCACTTCAGCACAGCAGCAAATTTTCAATGGTGCTTCAAGGGAAAAGCAGGATTCAGGGTGTTTCTTACCATTTTATTTGTCTTCCTCTTGGGGACAAAGGCATACACGGTAAACTAGAAGCTCTCTTCATATCAGCTTTCGCACACTCCTGCAGTGTTCCTGGCAGGTCAGATATACTTTAATGTGAGTTGCTGTCTCTCCAGACATTGTTTTGTAACATCTGAAGCAGCTCTGGAATTCTAAATTTCGGTATTTTAAGCTCCAACCAAGATTTTTGAAGTGCACATAATATAACTGCTCACTACATGCAGATCATTGCTCCCTAATGAATGGCATTGCTCTAAGGATTTGCATGGAAAAAAGTTTTAATCTTATTTTTACCTTATTCCAGCCAGTTCAGTGCGGGGAGAGCTGGCTGGACTGGAGCATGGCATTCGCTAGCAATACTGGAGACATCGCACACGGCGATCCGCTCCCCAAGGCGCTGAGCCAACCCTGCCAGGCAACCTGGGGGCCTGAATAAGTTTCAAAGCAGGTTGGAAGATGGGAAAGAAGTTTGGGAAGGTTTCGTGAAATGATGTTCTTTCCATTTTATGGCATTCAAATTAGATAATTTCCTTTTTCATCCTGACTTTTTTACCTTTTAGTAGTTTTTAATTTTTCATTTAATGAAAATGAATTCTCGTACTAGAAACTAATTTCTGTTCATTAAGGATAAAAGATGACGATTTCAAGCAACGAGTCCCTCCAAATCCAGAAACCCTAAACATATGCTCAACACCAAGCTTATGAGCAACTCCATTTACCTTAATATGTGTGCTTATCTCTAAGCATGTGCTTAAGTGGTTTGTTGGCAAAAGCTAGAGTGCTTATCCCTTTCCAGATGACCCTATTTAATATTTACCGGTATTAATCTGCTCAATAACTATAAACACCAGGAAAAAAAATTGAATTAGCTCTACACAGATCTTTTCCAAATACAATTTCTAAATTACCCAGGACGGTTAAACTGTTCCATGCTCAGGGGCTGACCCCAAAGCCACAGAAATCAGTGGAAGGGTGTTGACCAATTACACCAGTTTGGGGATGGGATACCCTGTGTGCAGAAACACTTTTGGCTTTGGCACTGTGACAAATAGGGATAACAAAGGCTCTATGCTGACATTAAGAAAGTTTGTTTTATGTATTGACATCCTGTTAACCTCCAGCGCACTTAAAGGAAGCTGTTAATTTAATGATTGCGTCAGAAAGATATGGCAGAACATGAGCAACGAAGGAAATCTCCAAGCCTAATGTCAGCATTAACACCTGCACAGGCCAGCACTGACTGCAGGGACCTCTGTACAGAGCATAAATTTAAAGAATCTGCCCTTGAGAAGGAGAAAATTTTCAAATCAAAGCGGCAGTAGCTGATACAGACTGCAGCTACAGGTGTTGGTCTCTGCCTCCACCATGAGAGCTGTCCTCCGGCAGCAAAGCCTCTCTAGATCCTACATGTCCTTCCACTTGGATTCGATGCAAAATGGATAGATTAATCCTCACTCACCACTTGGGGTAAGAGGCTGCACGCAGGGTCTTATCTCGCCCTGTTGTAAAAGGTTCTCCGCAGCCCTCAAGAACCAGAAAAGTTTATTTTGCTACTAAGTCTGAGCAGTGCTGTGATTTCACCACAATTAAATTTGACTCTAGGTGGTATCCATTTTACTGAGACATCAAACTTATGTGGTGCATACACGCAAAGGTAAAAGTGGAAGGTAATGATAAGACACTTACCTAAAATGAGATGCTTGACCTAAAAATATAGAAAGATATAAAGGCCCCGACTCAACAAAACACTTCAGCACATACCTAGCAGCAGACACGCAGACGATGCTGTTGAAAGCCTGACAAGTGCTGTAACTACTATTACCATAATCAGGATTCATTACAAGTTGGATGGGTTCTGAATTACACTGTGCTGTAAAACCACCTTTTTAATCTGTGAACGCCAGTACATCACTTGAAGTGATGAAGCTATAGTCTTTCCATTGCCTGCTCAGACACTGGCTTAAA